GGGGGCAGAACAGGTGAGCTGCAGCCACGCGCGCCCGCTTGTACCCGAGTGCAGCCCCCAGCCCACCTCCACGGCACCCGCTCAGCGGGGCTGAGCCCCAGCGCACTGGGTGCGAGGCTGTGTCCCAGCACAGGGTGCGTGTCTGCGTGTGCCCCAGGAACCCTGAGCGCACGCGCTTGTGCAAGGGCTGGGCTTTGCCAGCCCCTTTCGCTCTTCATGCCGGTGCTGATGCCGGCTGTCCAGCAAAGCTGGAGGATGCCCTGTCCTCACCTTATGACGGAGAGGCACAGTGCAGGACACCGGCTACCCTGTCCTCTTGGGGATGGGGCAGCAAGCCCGAAGCATCAGCACCAGGAGATGCAGCGCCCTGGGCAGTGTGGGGCTGAGTGCAGGTTCCCTGCTCCAGACGCACCACCTCACCTCCCAAACTGCTCCCAGCTTCAAACCCCGGAAGGTCCCTCACATCCACAGACATACAACCTGCTCTGGGTTGGGATGCAACTTGTACCAGCTGCTGTGACAGAAGCAGAGCTGCCTCCTGAAGAAAGGCTGCACAGGCAGGCTGGGGCCAGGGGAGTGGGAGAGGGACCCCTTGTCACTTTGCAGAGAGACCAGGTGGGTCTGAGCTCTGGAGGCAGAGGCTGTGCATGTGCACGGGCACAGGGGGCTGGCAGGGCACCGGATGGGGCTGCTGGGGCGAGCAGGGTGCTGGGTCTCGCTGCTCGTCCTTGGCTGCAGCCAGAGACACGGCACACCTGGCCTGTTCCCTGTGCCACCTCCCAGGCCAGCAGGGAGACACAGGCACCTGGAGCTGAGTCGCCAAGAGAGGAGTGCACCCAGTGCTGTGCATGGCTGCAGCCAAGGAACACAGCCCTCTTGGGGTGCCTCGTGCAGCCAGGGCGCTACCTTCTCCGCCTGCCTCCCTGGGACCGCCTGTATGCTGCCAGAGGAGCTGCCTGGGCTCGGGGTGCTGCGGCTGGATGTGACCCTTGCCCTGAGGGTGCTGGAGAGCCCAAGGATGGGCACGTGCCAGGCAGTGACCGCCAAGCTCCCCAGCTCCCAGGGCTGGAAATCACTCCCTGTCCCAATAAATCCCCCTTCCAGCAGTCACCAGCTCTCCTGTATAGCACAGACCCAGACCTGTGGCCCCAGAAGGGGGGCTGACCCCCCCTCCCAGGGCCAGACCCCAAGAAAGATCCCCTGTGGGCTGCATGTCCAGCACTTACCTTTGGCCGTGCTGAGCTTGCAGGTGTAGATGCCGCTGTCGTCCTCGTGCACGGAGGTGAGCAGCAGCTTGCACTTGCGCCCGTCAAAATGCATCTTGCATTTGAGCAGGGCGGGCTGGAGCAGCCGGCCCCGCGACAGCCAGTCCACGTCCATGTCTGGCGGGCCAGCCACCAGGCACTCAAAGAGCGCCAGCTCCCCCAC